ATATAAATCAAGTATTAAAACTATATATTTAAATTATTCTACTTAGCTCACGAACAGCGCCCTCTATCAAAGATTAGATTAAATGATGCTGATGCAAACAAATAGATAATGCTAATAACAAACAATTATAAAAAAATCTTATATAAATATATATCACTATATATATAAATATATTCACACGGGTCAATCCCGGGGCGAAGCCCGGGTCACCCGTCTAGTATATATATATGTAGTAATGTAGTTGTGTTTATCCTGTTGGATGAATGTAGGGTGGCCTGTTGGTTACAGTCGTGGTGGCCACAGTGATTAGAGTGGGTTCAGGCGTGATTGGGATTACACAAAAGGACGAGACATGTTGGATGTCACCATAGAGATGGCGAGAGAGTGAGTGAAGCCGACACCGGTCAGGGGATATCTGTTGAGAGGGTCTCTCAATCCTCGTGTCTCAAAGCGGACTAATCTCTTTGGGAAAGAAAGGGGCACACCTGGGAACCCGACTTGTTTTTCGGTCATTTTTACTCTACAGGCGCCGACTGTCACTCACTCGAAATTTTATTTCTGTCACTTTGGCAATTACACTAAAACTATATAACACATGGAGATATAGATATATTGGAATATATTACAACATATATATGTATATTTATCAATTATTTTGATATTTATATCTATTTATTCCTATATTTATCATTATATAATCATATTTATATTTATTCTGTATTTAACCTTATATAATCTTATTTATACGTTGTAATAAATCAGCTTCAATCTCTCTCTTTCTTGCTACAATTAAAAAATAAAAGGAGGACCTGGCTCATCAGTAGTAAACCCTCTCAGCAGTTTCGCCAGTTTAAGATGACATACCTCTCTATCATGACGATCTAATTCATCTTGTATATATACAATCCTACCTTTGAGGTCGCAGGTCAAATACAGATACCTGTCCGTGAATTAGAACACAATTCCGACGTCAATTATCATAAACTACAAAGTAGCTAGCTGCATAACTTTAGTCGAGCTATACAGACTGTTGATTGCTATCAGAGAATAAAAAAATAAAGTTTCAGGAGAGCAGTCGATACAAATCTTAAACGACTTTGCATATAAGTCATAACAATTTGCATAATTGCTAAAAATAAACCTATGTAGTTGTCTCTGTAGGGTGATGATTTTCCTGTGGAAATCAGCATGTTTAAAACTAAAAATAAAATAATTCCTCTGATAAGGTGGAAACATTTTTATCAAATTTTGAAGCATCGAGCGGGTTTTTGATAGAGTTTAAACAGACGGGTGAGTGAGTAACCAAGATTTATAGGAAGATTGTTCCCTTCTGCTCTTGAATATGTGACGATCAAGTGTGACGCTTATATCTGATATTTCCTCTTCTAGATCCTGGATTATAAAATATGTAAATTTGGCTTTAGACTAGTTTATAATCAACAAGGGACGTATTATTATATAATATAGAAATATTATTTCATTTAAAAAATTATATTTCATAGATTCAAATACTCTGTTAAATCGACCGCCAGAGCTCACGCTTCCCCTATAAAAACTCATTGTTGTTATTTCCCGATGGCCGGCTCAAACCTTTTGTACATTATGTAAATAAGTTTTCCATTTTTTTATTCTTACGCCTTAAGCCAGGCAGTACTTTTATCAAATTATGTTTTTATATATTCCTTTAGTTCAATTAAAGTAATTACTGATCAAAACTATTTTTATATACTTTCAATATTTTAACCACGACTGCATTACCCTAGCATAATCCTCAAGATAATTAAAATCAACAGAAATCTTTTTTTTTTATTTTATAACATATATATAACGTATGTCTGAATATAATACCACTATATATCACATGAGCATTGTGAATGACAGAGCGTCATATAGTGAAACAAAAATCTTATTTTTTCAAGAAAATGGGTTGGCCAACTCTCACGGTACAAGTTAAATCAACGTTTAGTTGATTTCTGTTCCACTAGATGGCGCTCTGCCATCTAAAATGTTCATGCGAGCTGTCAGGAAATATTTTTTTGGTTTTTAATATTGTAACAAAGTTTTTATTATTTTATTAGCAGAGTATTATTTTTTATGTTTATATTTTGATATACTCTGTAAACTTACCTCTTTTTCTTATCTTTTGTTTATCATTCATAGTTTGTTCTTGCCTGAAATAAATTGTTGTCTCATCCTGAAGTTGGTCTTCCCTAATTTTCCACGTGACAATATCAACATTTGTCCTTTATCTATTTTTCACATGTTTATATGTGGTATATGTTGTCACGTGTGGAACGTATTGGACCGGATCTACATGTCAGGAGTCTACAGCACCTTCTGTGACAGCTAGATGTGACATCAGTGACTCGTGGAGAATCAGACACGACATTCCAGGTCACGCGTCGGGGAGAAAGCTATTTCCTCTCCCGGGGTCCTCTCTCACAATCCACGCCAATAACTCAATCCAACAGAATCAAATAGATCTTTGGTAGCATATCTGAAATACCTTCATCTCAGTTCTTTCAATTCGAAGAAAATTATAAAAATTATACTGTTTTATAACTAGAATAATTGAAAACTATATTTTCTCTCAATATATACACACTCATAGACAAAACTTAAAGAAGTGGAAAGTATTTAACTCCAGTTGGCTCCCCCAGCGGTTTCGCCAATTTAATCTACCAGACCTCTTGGAGTAAGGATAGTAGAAGTTTGTTTTAAGTGTAAAAGAAACAATTGTGATTTAATGTTTTCTTTTAATAATTAGAAAATTGATCTCTAAATACACGGTTGGATCAAAAAGTTCCCGAACTCTAAAAAAATATAATAAAACAGCTTTTGAAAAATGTAAAATATATTTTACCGTAAATAACAAAGCCTAAACTATAATTTAATTTAGCAACGCCAGTAAATGCGCATGCGTAGTTTTCATTTTAGGCATATTTTTGTTGTAAGTATTTTGCTCGCGTCGGTTTCTGCAATTTCATCATTTGAGCAAAGAGCAAATATTAAATTTTGTGTGAAATTTAAAAAAGTCTTTATAGAGACCTTAGCATTAATGAATGAAGCTTATGAAGACGAAACATTGTCACGAATGCAGGTTTATTTCTGGTATAAACGATTTAAAGATGGCCTTGTATATTTTCTAATGTTGAAGGATATCAATAATGTAATTTTTGAAATTTGACAGAGTTTTATAAATCGAGAGAAGTGTCCAGGAGTGTCGCCTCCGTGGAGACAGCCGTCCGGACAAATGACCATTTGGAATGTCTGTCATTCCTTTAATTAAACCCCTGCCGTGGTACAATGTGATCTATCTATTGGCTATATCCTTTTTCCTGGGATTTTCTTATAACTTGGCCTTCTTCATCTCCTCAGACTTCTTGATGAGCTACGGAAGGTTGAGGTTAGACTCATTTTTGACACTATTATAAACTAAAGGATAAAATTTATTGATATTAATGAACTAATGATTGAAAATTGGTGGAGATTTGACTCATTAGTGGTGAATATTCTAAGTGGAGAATCATTTAAGAATATTTATCCTTTTCTAAAGGACGAAACCTTTTTGTATTAATTAACTAATCAAAATATTATTGTGAAGAGCTCGCTAATTAGAGGTCAATCTTCTCAGTGGAGAATCATTTAAGACTATTTATTATTTTATGAAGGACGAAACCTTTTTGTATTAATCAACTAATCAAGAAATTATTGTGAAGATTTGGCTCATTAGTGGTAGATCTTCTAAGTAATTTCAACAATTAATCCACCAGATCGCTAAGCCTATTTTACGTATGTTCGTTGTGAGTGGTTTTAGAGGATTCGTTAACTCAACTTAATAAATCAATATCCTCTGACAATTAAAATACTCTGGTAATTAAAAGACTTATTGCGCAACTGAGACTCCTATGGGTGTTATTCCCAGAAAATCGATCAAAGCGCTGGAAGACTGAGTGTCCTTTAACTTGTGATCTATGTAATATCAGAATATAAGATGAAATCATCCATACAATATTTGATTGCTGTTACTTGGAGAGGGGAACTCTTGGGTGATTTATCTTTGTCTCAATCCGATAGTCAACAAATTTATAACTGGATGGATACAATGACGTTTGATCAAGGTCTTTGGTTTATATAAATTCTACAAGACCGCAGTCACCGTTCGGAAGAGATTAATAGAATCGCTGAATGCCGTGGTCCATTTGGACGGGGAAAGCGAAGACTAGAACGCGGCTGATTCCACACTAGCCTGTTCAGTAATATGCTAACCATGACGTATGCACAAAGATACGTGTGGCCATTGGACATGCGTCGGACCAGGAGGCTGTTGTTGGGTGCTGCGCTGACTGGAGTATAGAAGCTCCATCTATTATTTCTTCCTGTGGTGAATCTGTATAAGACCGGTGGTCTTAATAAAGCTTTGTGTGTGTGTTATGACTCAATATCACCTTGTATCAACATTAAGGCAAAATATCAGATTTCCAGGAAAAAGTTTTTTTATACAATTTTTAAATCACAAATCTAATAGTTTTCCGCTGGTTGGGTTCACCAACAATGGGCCACGCTCTAACCCATTTAATTTGTATTCATTACAGTGAAAAAAACCTAAGAAATCATATCCCGACTTTAGATAATCTTCTACGCTTGATATATATCCTAAACCTGTATAGATGTCTGATAATTATGTATGATATCTTGAATATTTTCATGCTAAAATATTTCCTCAAACTTTCTTCAAAATGTAAATTGTTTTCCTCGAATACTTTACAATTAATTTTATTTAACTAAATTTGCATACCAACTCTTTGTACATATTTCAATTGTATAATACACTGCGGCTTGTGATTATAAAACAACACTTGAAGTTACACCGCATGAGTTTCTTTTCAATGAAAAATCAAAATTCATTTCAAGGTGAAATATTGACTATTTCTAACCTTTTTGGATGAGGTATGAAAGGGTGAATTATGAAGAGTAATGATGAACGGAAAAATAAAAGTGTCCAGGGATGGGCACCGAATCCACAATGTTCCGCTTACCGGGCAGATGCCATGTCCACTAGGCTACCCTGGACGTATTTTTCCGTTCATAATTACTCTTCATAATTCACCCTTTCATACCTCATCCGAAAAGGTTAGAAATAGACAAGATTTCACCTTGAAATAAAATTTTGATCTTTCATTGAAAAGAAACTCAGGCGGTGTAACTTCAAGTGTTGTTTTATATTTCAATTGTGTTGATATTTTTTTCACTTTTCATCTAACTAAATTGCATAACAATTCATGTATATATTTTAAATGATCTTTCTTTCAATGTTTAGTTTACCTTTAAAGCGTAAGTGTCCCAAGTAGGACATAGCGCTCTAAGTAGAAATATTTTTGTTGTTGTTGTTGTTGTTGTCGTGTCCAAAGAAGAGCCTCAGATGTCTCCATACATCTCCATCACAGCAGCTGCAATATCCACTATCTTGGGTGTGTAAAGCTGCTGCTCTGGGTCTAAGTCAATTTTCTTCAAGGCTGCGGCCATTGCTGGGCATGAGAATATGTGAGTAGGTGTTAGTTCCACACCAGGACAGTTGTTGCATGTTCTATAAGTTCTTGTGCCATCTGGATGTATTGTCATTCCTTTATTGTGTTTTGTTCTAAGTCTTGTTATAATAAAATATTGTTGTATATTCCTTTTTTTACTTTTGCTAATCCAAATTTCTTCCAATTCTACTAATTAATGTTTTTTAAGAAAAGGAACTGCTTGTTTTCGTTTGCTTGTATATAAGTTAATGATAAACTTTTTCTTTCTTCTTTCCCTCTAGTAGATACATCTACTTATATATTTGCCTTATTCTGTCTGTTTGTTTGTCTGTTTGTCTGAAGCTCACGGATAGAATGCGCGCTCATTGGCTGCAAGGGAACACGTGTCCTCCCTGCCCCCCTCTAGACAACCCTGTTATTCAAAAACCATACATCCAATCGCCATGAAATTCTGGGATATTATTAGGTATATCCCCGGAAAGGTTTTCGAAAAATAATTTCTTGAATATGTTGAATATCCTTAGAGTTATTTGCAGAATTGTAGATATAACTCGCAAGCAGCGCCGCCAGACGGTGATAGGCCTAAGCTTGCTGCTCCACCCCTGTTGACCTTGGGTCGTCGTGTGAGTCACAGCATGATGCAACAAAAAACACTCTCTCTGGGGATTGCGGCGTCAACAACCTGTAAGTTTGTGCCTCTCTCATAAACCTGTCTATACAGACCACCCTGTCTATAGCGACCACTCTAGACAACCCTGTTATCAGCTGTGTGATACATCCACCTGTCTATACAGACCACCCTGTTAATAGCGACCATCCAAGTCAACGTTTTTAGAATATATTCGCACTCGGGTAAACCCCGGGCGTTGCCCGGGCCATTCGTCTAGTTATAAATAACATGGCTGATTTTTGTTAATGTTATTCCTCTATATACTTTCTTCTTCTCGGAGAATCTGTATAAGTCTTAATAAAGCTTTTTGCTGTTGTTTGTTGGTGTATTTATTGCAGTATAAGGTCTACTGAAAATATGCAGAGTAGATTCTGATTACATTTATTCAAAAAGAGTAAAAGAGCGTTAACAAATTATTTATTAGAAAAAAATAGTACAAATGTAACATTGTACTGGGATAAGGTGCATAATTATGAAAAGACGCATCTCCTCATCGTGTAACTGAAAGTTGCTGATGGCTTGCGCCATCTATCGGAATAAATATAAACTATTTTAGTTGATTTTTAATTATTCCAGAATTGGCCAAATACCCATTCTTGATTATCAAGAAAAGCTAACCACGGACGCGTTTCGGGCTGTTGGCCCTCATCAGCGTGGTGCAAGCTGTACCTCAACGACCAAAAAACTGGTCATTCAAGTCATCCTGAAAAAACTTGAAACGGGTAGTTAAGGCCAGAATTGCGTGAGATCGAGAAATAATGTGAAAAAATAGTACAAATGTGATATTGTACTGGGATAAGGCGCATAATTATGAAAAGAGGCATCTCCTTATCGTGCAACTGAAAGTTGCTGATGGCTTACGCCATCCATCAACGAAAATAGTTGATATTTATTCTGATAGATGGCGCAAGCCATCAGCAACTTTCAGTTGCACGATAAGGAGATGCCTCTTTTCCTAAATTATTTACTGTTATGTACTCTTCTACCTAATATTCAATAGGTAGTGTAGTTTCTATTAAAAGAGATTGTATGTTATATATTTGTATAATATTTTACTATTACACAGAATTATCATAAGAACTAAAAATATCTCACGCTATATATTGATTACATCACATAACAACAACCAAGTCCTTGGTCAAAACCATATATACATCTATATATATATAAAAATCAATGTTTGTATGTTTGTTTGTTTGTATGTCCGGTATACAAATTCGCATTAGTTCACTAATTCAAACCAAAATTTCTATACATAGGTAAAAAAATACGGGGAAGACGATAGGCTATTTTAAAAAATATATATAAATCAATTATTAAAACTATTTATTCAAATTATTCTAATTAGCTCACGAACAGCGCCCTCTATCAAAGATTAGATTAAATTATGCTGATGCAAACAAATATATAATGCTAATAACAAACAATTTAAAAAAAAATCTTATCTAAATATATTACTCGGGTAGATATGCACACGGGTCAATCCCGGGGCGAAGCCCGGGTCACCCGTCTAGTATTATATATTACATTTATAATTTTCAGCGATAGAGAGAATTAGCTGATAGTTATAAATAGTTTGATAGTTTTGAAGTAGGACATGGTAGATAGACGGTGTTGAGAATTGAGTTTGTATGTTCGTCTTCCATTTAGCTGAGATGGACGGGATTGACCCGTGTGCATATCTACCCGAGTGATATATATTTAGATAAGATTTGTTTTAAATTGTTTGTTATTAGCATTATATATTTGTTTGCATTAGCATAATTTAATCTAATCTTTGATAGAGGGCGCTGTTCGTGAGCTAAGTAGAATAATTTGAATAAATAGTTTTAATAATTGATTTATATATTATTTCTCCTTAAAAATTCAAAAGAAACACATGCGGGATAATTTTCAAATTTCGTTCTACAATCATAAGACGCATTATATTGTATTATAAATAGAATCTTGTTATTGGGGAAATATTTCGTTGTCTAGCGGTATTGAGTGACAGGAAAACTAAACAATAATATTGTTACATAGAAAAGACAAGCCTCAGAAAAGACACGGCAATTTATTCAACGCAAGATGAATTTAAACTTATGTAAGATAGTTAATGACGGAGGATCATATTGTTGCAAAATATGAATATTATGTTTATATGTTTAACTTATAAATATGATACTTTTGGGGTATACACCAATACCTCGCTTTGCGTTTTTTTTCGAAATTACGTCGCTGCTTAATTTTTACTGATTTTCACTGTGCGTCGTTAGATTTTCGAAGTTGCGTTGTTTTGGATTCGAATCTTTAATTTTTTTCCCTAAAATATGGCAACACCTTTGTTTTTGATTGCGCCTTTACATCTTTTCACTTTGCGTCGTTTCAATTTGCGTCGTGTTTTTTTGGAACGTAATCCCGACGCAAAGCGAGGTATGGGTGTATTTGGGAAGTAATTTGATGAAATTATGGACACAGACTTTGAAAAGAGTAGAATTGTGTAGATAAATACACATAATTGCATATTAGAGAACAGTAAAGTAGATTAAACAGTAGAAACTGGGAGATTTGGCACTACATCACATGGGTGTAGATCATTACTGTTTCCATAGTTTGATCAGTTTCCCTAATATTCCCCTAAAGTGTCAGATATCTAAGATCAAGGATATTTTAATAAACCCAGTTTAAAAATATTGTCAAGTATCTCTAAAACTCCGGTCACAAGAAGCTCCATGGGACACCTGTCAATCATCCCTGGACTTCGGGAGGGACCACAGGTGTGAGGGGTTCTCAGAATCTTATCTGCAAATAAGGAAAACGGGACGCCTCGGTGGCTGACGCCGCTCATTATTATTTTCTTTACTTTGGGATAAGTTGTGATATCATCTGACTCTCTCTTTCCCTATAAATACCTCTTGTATATAATTTTATTGGAGAACTAAAAAGTAATTACTCCTTATAATAAATTAATTATTCCCAAATTTGCCCTTGCTTTATTTATCTCCGCGACAATATGTAATTGTAGGTATTTTTGCTACACATTACTACTATCCAGGCAAAGTTTAATAAAATAGTTCACCAAATATTGCCCCAAAGCATATCTGCATATAACATATAAGCATATCCGCGGAATGGTAGATAAAACTGCCAAAACCGCTGAGAGGATTAACCACTGATGAATCAGCCCCTCTCAAAATATTTTTTCCATCGTAGAAAAGATAGTAGGAACTTGTTTTATTTGTGAAACCTCCGAGTTAAACAGTTTCAACAATAAGTTTAAAAGAGATAAAATATCGTGATAAAACATTGTACCATTTCCTGAACAACCTTTACTCTATGGTGGATGATCAGCGCGCCATCTGTTAGGAGAAATTGTAACTATTTTAGACGCGTATCTTCCACTTTACAATTAAACAACTTTATGCTGCCCTAACTGCATGATAAATTAATGGGAGGGCCTATTACATGAGAAAAAAATTGTTCTACATTGAATTAAATTGTATCAAATCCTCCAAAAAAGACCTTTGGGAAAACCCCAGGACTATAATAGAAAAGCTGAGACAATGGAACCTAATGGAGATCGTTTAAACAACTTGAGGAATAAGCAACAACAACAACAAACCCTGGGGTTTATAATCCCCAGGACTATAATAGAAAAGCTGAGACAATGGAACCTAATGGAGATTGTTTAAACGACTTGAGGAATAAGAAACAACAACAACAGAATTGTTCTAAAAAAAGACTCTACTTGATGTTTGCGGAAGAGAAATTGCTCGAAGCATATTATATATATATATAATTCTATGTATTTCTACTGTGTCCTCAAAGCTTAGGTCCATATTTCATTTAAAATACCTTTTCCAAGAGTTCAATTTCAGTATCGGTATAAAAGGTAA